AAAACAATTAGCACATGCAGACCAAGTTAGATTGCAACATGATAGCAATGAAGAAATGTACAATGAGCCTGAAAGTAATGAAGGTGAAAGTGTCATGTCGTGGCAAGACAAACATGACAGTGCAATCAAGAATGATATAGACTCTGAAGATGAACAGTTGTTGGAGGACCACTTCTATGAAAAAAGAAAAAGATCATGATCTCCCATATCTAGACAATCTCTTCAGGAGAGGGAGGAAGATAGTAAAGAGACAAAAGCTCCCAGAAGAAGTACCACGGAAAATAGAGGGATAAAGCCATTTTGGTACAGGGAGATGGAGTGACTTATTTACATGTGAAGTTACAAATACTATAAATAGATAGAGCTATTACCCATGAGGCAGGTGAGTGCATACTACTTTCTGTGAGTCAATAACACTAAACTACACTACACATCCCTTAATAGTCAGTTGTACTTAGTTTAATTATGTATATAAATGTGGGTAGAAAAAAGCAAATGTTGATAAGATATCTAGGGTCATAATGCACTGCCTGGAGTTCCCAATTAATTAGTGAGTTTGAGGGTAGTACGTGCTGGCACTGCAAATGTATAGTCATAAATGCATGACAAATATGATGTTTTTGTGCTCTTTGGCCCGGTGTATAGAAGTGTTGGTTGAAGTAATCCAGTGACTTGACCCAAAAAAGTTGTGGCCACAGCAGAGCTGAATAAAAACTTGGAGAGTTCAGTTACTAAAGGGAAATAACTAAAACAGATATCTGGAAGGCATATTACATGAAACTGGAGCAATCTACCCTGGCAGACAAAATAAAGGATTCGGTTCAAAATTCCAATCACCTGAAGAAAGCCGGAACATATCATGGTCGAAATGTAGTGAATATGGCAACAAAGATGAGGACAACAGTCCAAACAATGTAAATAGTGTAAATGAGATCTTGTATTTGTGTGACGGTATAAAATGTTTTTGCCTAATCATAAAGAATTCTAAAAGTTTGATCTCTGATGGAGATCTATAAACAATCTCTTGGCCAGAAGTTAGTGAATCACTAAGATGTTTATTTGTTATCGATTAACAGAGAGAAATTTGGTGTAGACTGTAATTTCAATACTGACTCATGGTGACTTCTTTATTTCTAATAACAATGCCAGTTCCAAAGCAAGGCAGTTTATTTATTTATTATTTATTTAACCAAACTGACTCTCTAGTTGAGCGGGGCAAAAAGTCAACATTAAAATCCTGGGTTTAAACATAGGCCATTGGTACATGGGTTGAAAATAGGCAAACAGTTTGATTAGTAAGTGCTTGAGACGATTTTGTATTTTTTTTTTTTTTTTAAGCATTACGCCCTGAGCAAGGCGTGAAGCCACTAGGATGCAGGGGTTTTAGAAGATTTGGAGCAAGAGCAGATAGGAGTGATAGAAGAAAGGATGAGGAGAAGGATAGTGGGTAGATCAAGGTAACTGGAGGTGTCGATTGACATTACATTTGAATAGTTGGAGATTATAGCTCTCAGGGAAACAGTAATTGGGAAGGGTGTTCCACAGGCGAGAGGTGCAAGGTATGAAGCTATTATAGTAGAAGAGACGGCTACATTTAAAAGTTTCTACAGTGTAAGGGTGGGAGCGGGATGCCAGCCTCGTAGGGCGCTTGAATTCATGGAGTCTGGGAACCACTGAAAGCAGCTCATTGGAACAATTACCATGAAAGTATTTGTAAAAAAGACAGAGAGAGGCGACGGTGCGTCTGTGAGAGAGTGACTGTAGATGAGACGCCAGATCAGGGCCAGTTATATTGCATATCCGTCTCTAGATCTTGTCAAGAACACCAAGGTAAACAGAAGGTGCCCCAGACCATATATGGCAGCAATACTCCATGCAAGGATGAATGTGATTTGCACAGAGAGCCAACTTTCCTCACGGTTTCCCATTAATACTCATTCAAGGTTGTTGCTTGAACCTGAATAAGTCAAAATTTTATATATGACTTTGAAAGCTGGTAGGCCATTCACACTTGGTACAACATAATCTTCTTCTTTCTATTTCCCGTCTGTTGGCCTTGTGCCTTACTAAGCTCAGCTTAGTAAATTGCTAAAACCTAAGTCAAAACAAGTGATTTCATATTTATCAACAAAATTTGACCAAAGTGGGTCATGAGTGACATGATTGAAAACACATCTGAAGTATCCAAGACATGACATAATCAAAAGACAGGATACCATGAATCATGTGAAATATTATTAGGTGCTGACATGGACTTGATCACAGAGTACATCTATAAATACAACTTGTAAAGCATCTACAAAATATTTGTAAGGAGCATCCTCTGTGCAAAATAGGACTCAAGAAAATCTTTCCAAAACAGAAAGTATGGCCTGGAAATTTTTTTTACTCATTGTTTCCCCCAATACAAGGCCCAAGAGCCATCCAATGTAGAGGTCTACTGAATGAGGTTGTTGCATGAATGTAAAAGAAAGAAATAAGATGCACGGATTAATTAGGCCATGTAGGAAAGATAACAGTTGATTCTAGACTTGAAGAAGTTAAGATTGTGGTGATCAGAGAAGCATCCCCTTGAGAGTTTGTTCCACAAAGTAGCAACTCTTGGGAAGAATTTGTTCAACTGGAACTTCTTTCTTACTAATGGAATATGAAGAGAATGGAGATGATTTGTCCTAGTGTATGTGACATGACGGGTTTTAGCTGTGAAATTCTGAAGCAATGGAATCAGTGATAGCTTATAATCTGAATCCATCATAAAAATTCAGAATGTGGAATTAATAAATGCTAAACACTTCAAATACCTTGGTTTATGGATCAGTTATAACAAATTTAGTATAGAAGATAAGGTATTTGAACATAGAATAGGCTGCGCTAGGGGTAGTTTTGCCCAACACCGCAAGTTGCTACAAAACCAAAACATTAATCTAAGAACTTCAGTCATGTTCTTAAATAGCCACATCAGATTTACATTTTCAAATGGATGCCATGAATGGCACCAAACTCATTCAGAAATATCTAAACTGTCAGCTTTATACAAATGCTTTAGCAGATTAATGATCAAAAATGATTTCCAGGAAATGAAGCATGTAGGTCTTAGAGAGGGCCATCCTTCTTCAAGCCTCATTGACCGGTGCTACACAATCACAAATAAATAACTGTATTAAATAACAGAGACCACATCACTTAGAACTTGCAATGGCAACAACAACTAAAATGGATAGCTCATCTATCTCAAAGAGAAAATAATGACATAATCAAGATGTTGACATTCCACACCATACTGGATAAAAGGTTAGGAAGGAAACCCCCCATTAATAATGGAAAGAGTGACAACAGTTAGTAGACTTGAGAAACTTATTTTCTTGATAAATTATTTTTAGGGAAAGATTTTATAGCTTTCAATTTAGTACTTGTTTCGCAGTCAATGAATACCAAATGTTTCTTTATTAGGAAATCGTTAATATTACTATTGGCATTACCATTAATTTGCGGAGTCCATTTTTCCCTTGCTTTTGTGTTTCAGTGTGTAAGGTAGTCAGTATGTAAGGTGATATGGTCAGATTAGTTGAAAGCAAGAATTTTTTGTCCTGCCCAATCTAGTAATTTCAAAATCTTAAAATCAATAATGATATAAATAGTGAGAATAGTTCTAATAGCATTTTACAGATTTCTCTGAATGATAGTGGTTTACCATCTGTTCTTTTGCTTGCATGACCTTTATAGAAGGAATATGAATAATAGGTGAATTTGAACAAACAGAATTTATTTTCAGTTGACTTGGATCCCCCCCCAAAAAAAAACAAACAAACCAAAAACAAAGGAAATATGTTAAAAGCTTTTGGTTTTGAAAGTTAGCAGAAATCACAGATCACTTTTAAATATTTTTTTAATCATTTCACCCCAAGCAAAACAACAAAACCACTAAGATGTAGGGGCGGTTACTGAGTAGGAAAGAATATAAGAAAAAGAAAAAACATTATTAAGGAGCAAGAAAAAAAAAGAACAGAAATTAAGAAGACAGAAGAAAAATAAGAATCTGGGGTTGTAAGATTGTTCAAGGGAGACAACTCGCAGTTATTTCAAGAGAAAAAAGTATTTAGGATCAGGGATTTTAATATTGCTAAGGAGAAACAATTTCTATTCAGATTTAAACAAGATTTTTTTCTCTACCATAATATACTCATTCTAAATCACAAATATTTCAAGCTCGTGTGGATGCATTTTTGTAAACCTAGTAGATTTAGAAAGTATTGGATATGATTTTATGAATAAAAAAAGGTAAGTATATTCTCTCTCTTTCCCTCACACACACACAATGATTATGAAGAAAATTAATTTTTTGTTTGTATGATGTTGAAGGCACCATTTGTTATGGAACAGGCTGATTTTCTACTAAAAAAAATAAGATTAAAAAAATAAATAATGCTGTCTGTATTGTATTCTAACTTGGGAAATGGCACTTTTTTATCGCTGGTGATAATAAATCGTTTTTTAAACAGTAAAAAAAAAAAAAAGGTATTGGATTTTTCAGTGCCGCCATGTTGTTACGGAATGTGACACAAGGTCAGTTTTAAAAAGTAATTTTACACGGCAATACCGTGGGAAAATTGATCAAACCCCCTCATCACTTCTTTTTCGTGGGTGGAGACGCGTCAGGTGCCGGGTAATGACTCAAGCTCTCTCCCGAAGGTGAGACTGCCTGGGAGGGTGGCACTCTGAAGCGTGAGCTTAAAGCGAACTTCGATGTGTAAAGTAAAAAAGACAAAGTTTACAAAGTTAAAAAAAGAAATAAGACTAAAAAAATATAGATAAATTAACTAAATTAAAATTAATTTATTTAAACTCCTAGTTTTAGAGCATTTACTTTAATCTGTGAAAATTGAAAACCAATATTAATTTGCATGTCTGTCTGTTTTTGCGAGTTTTTTTTTTTTTAACAAAAAAAAAACGCTCTTTTTAATTCCATTTTTTTGTTTAACATTGAAAACTTTTTCTATGAGATGAGAAGTTTTCATATTCGAGAGACAGAAAAGTAGGAGGTATAATTTCATATATACTGTGATTTGTACAAAACTTTCAAGTAGATAATTTAATTAAAAAAAAAAACAAAAACATAAATCAACAAAAAAACGTAAAAAAGAAATTAGTTTGGTCAAATTTATAACCATAAACCGAATTTGCCGGTTTGGAAGACGTCGTGGTTATTAAAAGGAAGTGTCACTGGCTACTAAATTGAACGCATTCTCCGGGTCTCCATCCTTTAACCTTTTTGTACTTTGTACACGTAACGCTCAACTGCTGATTTACAACGTTTTCACTTGAATTTAATGATTATTGCGCAATATTCCATCTTCTAAGAGCTGACAGGTTACCTGAAGAAAAAGATCGAAGGTCCAAAATTTGCCGGTTTTTAAAAAATATATATCCCGTGAGTGCATTAAGCTTTCGATTATATTCGTCGTGTTATGAATGTTCATTATTGTGAGTTTTTTTTTTTTTTTTTTTACATTTATTTGTGAGTACGACTTGTTTTGAAAGTTTTGACGATAGTATTATTAATCATTTCGATACGGTAAAAAAAAGTATTTAAAAATCAACTATAATGAACTTAAATTAGATATAAAAAAAAAAAAAAACTAAGAGGAAAAAAAATCACCTAACGTAACGAAACCAACAATTTTGGTGGCTGCCGTAAGACTAAAAAATCTACCTGATAGATTTCATTTAACATGTGAAGTATTTTATTTTTAGTAATGTACATTCAATTCAATTTGAATGGAAAAAAAATAAATCTGTCTTTTGGTTTTTGTTCCATTTTTTTTTTTAACCTCTTGATTTAAGAGAATTATCTAACAGAATTAGTGTAGGTTTTATTTTCGTTTTCGTATTAGCTCTGCACATGTTATTTTGATTCCGTAGAAACCATTTCTTGACGTTATTTTTTAAATTTTTTTTTTATTTGAAAATAAAACACAAACATGTTTTTACTAATGACTGAATTATAAATTATCATAAACTTTTAGACTCGAACTTTGTAATCTTCGCCAAAGATAGAGATTTTTTTTTTTTTTTTATTAAATAAAAAAGTAGTCATTTCTTGTTTTATATCGAAAATATTGTTTTGATTCTTTGAATTTGTTTGTTGTTTCCAAAAGAAAAGGTTTTTCTTTTTAATTCATTTTTTTTTTTTTTCAAATTTCTAAATTTAATTTTGTTAAATGCCTAAGAAATTGTATATTATTTTTTTTATTTCATATTTCTTCCGTCCGAATCTTACACGTTTTTACTTCATATTGTACTCAGTGTTGAACGCGCGGACCTACAGCAACTGCTACACAAATTGTTGTGGTCAATTACAGAATGATTTTTAATAACTTGTAAAAGAAAACTTTTTTACACTTTTATTTAAAGTAATAATCAGCATTGATAATAAGCGATATTGATTAATGGTTATAGTTTCTCTAATTTAGATATTTTTATCACGGTGACATAAAAAAAACAACAAAACACTAGGCCCTGACGTAAGTAAACCGAAACGTGAAAAGAAAAGTTAAGTTGTTCTATGTTGTTTTAACTGTTAGTGTTAATAAGTAACTGCTTATTTTTTTTCCTTTAAAGTTTATGCTAAAGTTTTCATATCGTTTTTATCTGTAGCCTTTCATTTATTTTTTATTTTTAAATTAAAAAAAAAAAACGTGAAAAAAATACAAGTTGTTAGTTAGCTATATTAAGAAAAAACTTAGGGTGAATTAAATTTTGTGGCGGTAAATTTTGCAATGATTATTGAACAATTAACTGATTGATTGGGTTGGCTTTTTTTATTTGTTTCGTGGTCTTTTCTTAATTTGAAGGTTTAAGTTACTTGTGATATTCTTTTTTTAACTATAGTTAATAATCCAATATAAGCCCTAAAGTGCCACCTGAGGTAGATGGTTACTGAATGGAGAGGGTGTATCGGGATGAAGCAAGGGGTGCATATGAGGATATGTAGAATAGATAATGGTTGATCCTTGACTTGAAGAGGTTAAAATTGTAACGATCAGGGAAGCATCCTCTCAGGAGTCCATTCCACATTGCAACAGTTATGGGGAAGAAACTGTCTTATTGGCATTTCCTTCTTACCAATGAAATATGAAGGGAATGAGGATGAGTTGACTCATTTTATGTGGCATGGCAGTTCCTAGTTGTGAAGGTCTGGACTAATGGAACTTGAGAATATATTTTGTCCAAACATCTGCTATGAAAATAGTGGTAGTGCAGCAAGATCCTATCTGGGGAAAAGTGGTTGAAGGGTGTAAAACAATTCATTATCCACAAGACTGCAGTTGAGGTTGGAAAGTTAAAACCAGAAGATGAGCAAGATTTACTTTGACTTAGTATAACTTAGCTAAAAATTTGACTTCTGCTTTCAAAGTCCTTCTCATTTCTTATATATTGTGACTCTGGACTACTAATGAATTGAAATTCTTAATTTATAATCTGAGAAAATATATTTATAGATTTTTTTTTTATTTATTATTATTAATGTTAACCCAATATAAGGCCCAAAAGCCCTTCAAGATAGCGGGTTACTGTGTGGATTCCTATTAGCATGGGAAAGAACAAGTGAAGCAGGCTTTAGCAAGAACCAGAAACTTAATCCTAAGCAGGACCAAGGGATAAATCTCTACTCCTGTTCAAAAGACTGGTTAGGAGTTTGAACTGGTTGATAGGCAAAACTATCTACTCCTATTAAATGCAGGATGTGTAAAGAATAAAAGACTATTACTTTAGCTGACAGCAGGATTCTCTGTTTTTGGAGGGGGAAGTTGGCAGTCTTGTGTTGCGAGTTGTAGACACAGATTTTTACCCTCTTTGATTTTACACTCCTAGCATTTTTGTCCTTGGACTTGCAAGACTGATTTATGACCTTTTGGAATTATTACCTCAGATTTCTGATTTGGGATTTGAACTCCTCATTGCTATTTTCTCACACTGTGGAAAAAAAGCCCCAAAACATTGAACTGGCAGGTAGAAGGTATCCACTTAGTTCATGATGAGGGATACCTAATTTCCAATATCACCTGTTTTTATTGTTTGTTTTGTAGACTAGTTTGCTAGTTCAGTGAATTTGATTCTCAATAGGTGTCTCACTAAATTGCTTTTTGCTAAGTCAAGTTCTGTGTCCCTTAAGGACATTGGTGATCATGGCTCTCTACAACTTCCTGTTCTTTGTAAAGCATGAAGTCCATCATTGATGAAAGGAACAGGGCACTTTGACAGAAATATGATAACAGCAAAAATGTGGATAATAGTGTAAATAATACATAATTGCATTTTAGGGATAGGATACATAGTAACATATAATTAAAAAAAAAATTCAATTAATACTGGTTTATCTAATTCAAGTTCTTTGCATTCTGACTTTCTGATTTTGAATCCTATGTTTTGGCTGCAGAAAAAGTAAATAATCAGTGGCTAAATATGGGTTATAACATGGTTTGGCCTTGAGCCATATTCTTACAATAATATGGAATAGATAATTTGGTTTTACCTTAACTGAATTATTAACAGATTTGTGGGGAGTCAGGTAACTTATAATATCATGTTTTAGAGAACTATACCCAGATTATACATGTTGGATGTTTTCTACATAACATATATAGGTAGATGTGAACCATTAATGGCTCTCTAAGTAAAGTAGCTTTTAATGGTGAGTTTTGGAGTTAAAAGTATTGCACATATATATGTTGGAAAGCAGAATATTAAACTTGTGTACTAAGATACTAATTCTTGATGAATCAATTATGCCCTCAAAAAATGGATCAGATGCTAAACTAAAAGGTTATTTAGATGTGATCTATTTTAAAGATTTTGTTAATTAAACATTCACATCTGTTGTGTAGATTTTGTATCCAATTGACTGTCAAAATCATTGAGGCTGTGATTATTACTAATCTGTTTAACCTTGTCTTTGTTTTGACCACTTGAACTGAAATACAGTGTTCAATATTCTCAACTGTAACAATTTGATTTTTAATGGCTTAAATATCTTTGATATTTCATCATGTAACTCTTAGTGTTGGCATTGTTTTGTTGTCAATTTCTTTACATGAATGATTATAGAGCTTCATCCTCAAAGTTTGAATGTCCAGGTCTGCATTCATTTTCTAAAAATGTTTCTCCAGAATGAAACTTTGCAAAACAGTTTTATAATTGCTGGTCAGTTAAGCTTACCTAGCAGTTTTAACAATTCTTTGTGAAGTACTTTATCAAATGCTTTTGCATAATCTATAAAATATAGGTATACATTCCTTTGCATATAATCCATTGTGTATGCTGCCAGTGCAGTACAAAAACTAAGTGTATTTCAAATTTATTCATAATTACCACTAGTGATTAGTAGTTATGTTGATACTTTTACAATTGGTTTCTAAAAATTTTTGTTGTAGGTAGACTAATAAAGAAAAATACTATCTAATATTTTGTCTTAATAAATAGAAATTTGATTGAAAATTAATTAAATTCATTTCATTATTATTATTACGAGTCATTTTTAGTTGGGTGGTCTTACTCTTCTGTGCTTCATAAGTCAGGGATGGTGAGAGTCAACATTTTTCTTTTCCTTAACAATATCTAGTTATTAAGACCTAGTTTTTTCCTCAATGTATGTGTAAAGGCAGGAGCCATTCATGATGCCAACATATTTTTTGTCATGTCCCCAAGCTAAGAATTCCCAAGAAATTTCTAGACCCCCATCTCCCCACTGACATTAAGTGCAGGAGAGTAGTGGTTATGCAAACTCATATTAAAAAAAAAAAATACAAATTTATGTTTTTATTTATTTTTATTTTATATTGCCAGGTTGCAGCATGCATTCAGACTATCAGTTTGTGACTGCTAGCCTATGAGAAGATGGGGCTTGGCTCTTTTGGTTTAACCTGTGACACCTTGGAGCCATTTAATAATGGCAATAAAACAGATGTGGTCACCGAGACTCACCAGACTTTTGGTGCTACTCTTGATGCTTATCTTTTACTGCGAATTCCTGCACTACTATTTTGTTCTCATCCTCTGCACTTGGCCAACACTAAGTTCCCAAAACGAGGATATCACCATAGCCAAAAGCTCTCAGAAGCCATTGAAAGCAATGGTTATAGCTGATACACATATTCTTGGTAGCAGAGAAGGACATTGGTTTGATAAGATAAGAAGGTAGGTATTTGATTAACTTATTTATGAACCTGTCTTTTCTTCATTGATTTTTTTTAATTATTTTTAACTTCTCCTAAAAGACATAAAAAACATTTAAAGAGTTTATAGACAAATAAAAGCTGATGTGATGAAGGGCATGTATACAAGCTTAGAAAATGTTAATGCATGGAGTTGGCTTTGAAAGAGAAACTGACAAGCTGAAAGGATGGAAAATAGTATTGATGAGCAGGGTTCAAATTCTGTTGGCGAGATTTGTCTACCACAAAGTCTCTGAACAATGATGCTCAGATTTTCCCTCTGGGTACAGTTTGACCCATTTAACCTGTGGATGGGAGGGGAAGGGAAGTGGGTTGTTCTTTTTTCCAAGGGGAATTTGGCAAAATTTGAACTCTTCATGCTAGTATCATTTTCTGTTGTGATAAACACGCGTGAGAAAATTGAAACCAACAAAAGAATCCATATGCTCACCACAAACCTATAAATATGCTTTCATTTAGCATCATCTCTTTAATAGATTATATTTAACTTTTTAGCTATAGACAAGGCCTCCCCCTCTGATAGGTGGGCCACTGTTGCTGCTTATTCAAATAGATAGCAGCATGAAATTTCTACTACAACTAAATGCTGGGGAGGATTTTTGCTTCAGATGCTAATAACAATTTTAATTACACCTCCTATCTCTCTCTCTCTCTCTCTCTTTCTCTCTCTCATATATATAGTGTGTGTAAAAATTTCAGCTAGTGAATTTGTAAAGTACAATATGAATACAGACAAAAGTAAAACTTAGTTGACACATTTTGTCCTCTAAAGGACTTTAGCAAGGCAAATGTGAGGATTTTATTTTATAACAAGTATTTATATTCAAGGTCAAAAATGTTATTGGTTTTTCAAAATTTTTAAATTTAAGAACACTCATAAATATTCATCAGGTTGACAGAAAAGTCAAACAAGTTATGGAGGACATGAAATGATACAATTCAATGTCTAATAACTTGGATTGTCTAATATTGGTTGTTTAAATTTTACACAGGAAATAATGCTAATGTTGCTTAATTTTTTTTAATACTTGGCTCTAATAAAAAGTAAAGATAATTTCAGTATAACTGCACTTTTCATGCATGGGTAGTATGAATGTTAGCAGCTCAGATGGAGAAATTAGCATGACAGGTTTAAATTCCAGTTGAGTTTTTTTGTGCATTCACTTTTGCACAAATACTCTTGGGAAAGGTGTGAATCCATCTCTTCTGCCCCTCACTATGGATTCAATAGCCAGGAATACTGGGTTCTCTAGCCATGGTTGATAACTAGTCTAGAAGGAGGACAAATCTGAAACTGTATGTAGCCCTAGTGGAAAGGATTATGAAGTTCGCAATCAACTGTGATATGTTGTTGGGGACCTTGATGGAGGTTGACTGTACTTTTTTTTCTTACAATAATGTTCACCCTGTACAAGTCACAAGAGCCGCTCAAGGTAGAGGGTTAGAGATATACTTTATGGGGATATGTGGGGAAGATGACAGCTAACCTTAAATTTGGACAGGTTAAGATTGTTGTGATTGGGAAAGCATCCTCTTGGGAGTCAGTTTCACAAAGCAGCAGTTCATGGGAAGATGCTACTTGAATGGAACTTACATCTCACCAATGGAATACAAAAGTGGAACAGACAAGTCTGCTCAAACTTGAGATAAGAGAATAACTTATTATAGTTGAATAAAAATAATAAATCATCAATTAGTAATGCAGACCAATACAGTATATAATCCACCAAGATTACTTCTCTAGTATCTTCAAACATGTAGTCAGAAGGGAGTAATTTCAATTTTTCATTTCAGGCAGTATTTATGAAATGAGATGTGAAATAACTTTGTAGTTTATAGTGTTGTAAATTATTATGGCTGTGAGGGCATGTGGTTACAAGAAAATACTGTCAGATTTTTACAATTTCAAAACCAAATTAAAGATATATCAAATGCCAGTGTCATCAGCAAAATAGGTCATCCACAGGGAAGAGACAAAAAAAAGAAGATGACAGATGATTCTCAAATTAATGTGACAGCAAATAATGCCAAAAAATAGCAGAGAATATAGGATGTTAAGCAAAGACATTAAAAATAGACACAAGCAAGCAAAAGCTGAATGTCTTGATGAGAAGTGTGCAGAGACAGAAGCCCTACAGAGCCCTAGGCATGTATGAAAAGATAAAATTTGAAATCTGGAGGCACGTAGGAATAGTGAAAGATGTCTTCAAGAAACTAAACAAAGTACTACAACATAAAAAAATGTCATTACAGGCAAAGAACACCTACATAATATTAAATCTTCTATCTGGCAATGAATACTGGATAATCTTGTCATGGATGAAGATACTCTATGCAAGAGAGATATGGTTCTATCAATGAAAGCTTAGAATGCCCTGGGTGGAACATGTGAGCAATGAGAAAGTTTTAAGAAAAATAGGAACTGCAAGGAAATGTATACTGACAAGCAGAAAGACTGTTGAAATTTCTGGGGCCTAGAGAATTTAACACAGAAAACATTGAAGGCAAGAGAAGTGACGGCGGCGGCGGAGGGGGGGGTTGTTTGGTTGACAGTAATGTGCTTAATGAGATGTGAATGCTTAGCAGGACAAAGAGGGATGCTAAAAGATCAAAAGTTACTTGGAGCAACAAAAGACAGGAAGTTGTGGAGAGCTATGATCGTTCATGTTCTGAAAGGACATGATGCATAAAAAATAGGAAAGAATATCCAGGAAGTTGCCAAATAAATATACTGTTTCATTTATTGTGAGTCTTAAGGTTTTAATTTTAATGCTGTGTGGGGTTCATATAAAACTCTTTGGTTTACAGCCTCAAAAGAAATCTAATATAATTGTTGTTTTAGTAATCATATTCTATGATTTAGTGTTTAATCTTAAAAAAAAAAGAAAATGTTTTGTTTCTTGATAGCCATTTAAATTTCAAGATAAAAAGGAATATAAAAAAAAAAAACTCACATTATTTTTTTATTTGATCAAGCTAATTTGGACATTTATAAGTCTGTCATGCTAACCTTTTCAGTAAAATTTTCTTTTACATACCTAGGAAGCAAAATTATATGCTCCCAATTACTTTCTTAACAATGGCAACATTTTGTTGAAAAAAAAAACAAAACAAAATCCAACATGTATACATATGCACACATCTATGAAAAACAATACAGGCTTACAAATCAATATTAAAGTTAAGTGTATTTAATATGAAGGAGCATCACAGGCTGAGAAACAAAAGAAAACTATTGTATATGTGTCAGCATGGCAGGAGTTATTAAATTAAAATTTATTTATTTTTAATCATTTCACACCAAGCAAAGTGGTAGAGTCACTAAGATGCAAGGGGTTACTGAGAGTGAAAGAAAATGGGGAAAATTAGTGAGGAGAAAGGAAAATATAAGAACAGGATTCTGAAAGACAGAAGATAGCAATTGATGTTGCATTTAAATCTTTCACTTCTCATCCTATGTATCACAGTCTCTTCATTATCTATATCACTTTCTTCATATTTATCTCAGTCCTTTGAAATTTTTCAATCTGTTTCTATTTATCATTTTTTGAATCCACTCAAGCAAGGTGATAGAGCCCCTAAGACATGAGGGGTTATTGGGAGAGAAAGAATCTGAGAAAACCATTATGGAAGAGAGTGGATGACAAGGATTGCTGTTGCACTTAAGTTTTTGAAGATCATAGTTGACAAGAAGCTGGAAGAGAGTTCCATAAGTGAGATGTGCAAGAGAATAAACTGTTAGCATAGAACTTCTGATTACATCTAGCATTGATACAACAGAAATGTAATTGATGCCACTCTTTCTTTGTCTATAAAATGGCTAAATGGGATATGTTATCCTTTTGAAAAGATTGGAACTCCTAGCCCTCTAATTCAAGCTGGAATTGTAGAAACATACAAAAGTGATGGTAATTAAAAGAAAAAAAATGCCATGTCCTTTTAGGAAGTAGACTATCATGACTTAATGCAGAGTTTTCTTGGAAATGATATTTCTCCATGGTTTTGGATTCAGGTTTTCTTCTTTTAGATGAGTTGCCAAGGTTAGAGCACCCAATCTACCACTCTATATTTTAACCTATAGCTGGGAGGAAAAGAGATGGATTCATGCTTTTCCCAAGACCATTTGTGTGGAAGTGACAGAACAGACAAGTTCTGTATTTAAGCTTTGCTCACTGATTTCAGACAGACGAGTTAGATATTTAAACTTGGCTCAGTGATTTCATATTCACGTGCTGATATCAATGATGCTACCTGCACATTCATTCTTATTGATTATTCATTAGAAAAATACTCTTTGAGTATTTATTAAATGAGTATTTATAATAACCACTGAAAATGCAAAGAAAAAGATCTGTCATATGTGGGACATTTCTGGCTTGATGGAAGCATAGAATACAGTCATGTGTGTATGTGATAAATATATTGTAAAACTTTGACTTTTGTATAATTTATGTAGAAACCTTGACAGAAGAAAAAAAAATGACCTTTTTCAACCCTACCCACCTCTTGCTTAAAACTACCAACAGGTTGACTACAGACAGAAAAAAAATAAAGCAAATGTCATTGAAGACAGTGTAATAAATTTACTACAAAAAACAGAAATTGTGAAAAATAAACTGATAGTGTCAAAAGTAAAAAGCAACACTTGGAAATCAAAAAGGAAAGATGTTTGTTGATGTGACAATGCATGAAAAGTGCACTATCAATTTTTTTCCTGCTGAATCACTTCCAACTGTTCAGTTTTAATAAAGCCTACTTCCTGCACCCTTTTGAGGATATAGAATTGAATTTGTGAGAAAGAGAGAGACAGGATAAAAGTAGTTGCTCTTAGCAGGCTGCTGCTGGTGGGTGTTAAGAAATGGAGTCTGTATACTTTTGATGGACTTCAGTTGTTGGAATGGACTCTGAAAGAATGTCTAATATGTTTGTTGGGAACTTGCAAAGGTGATCATCAATTACTTG